ACCCATAGTTAATAATAAAAAAATTATCAAACGTCCAAGCTCATAATTTTCCACAAGCCCAGCCCAATATAATATATAAAAATATTTTCCAAGCCCAGTCCAACTCATAATAATTTTATAAAAATTTTTCTCAAGCCTGGCCAACCCATAGTAATTTTCAAAATTTTTTTCCCAAACTTGGAGAAAAACCATATCTATTTTTTATTCTATCTTAACCCAGCTCACCCCTACTTCAGACCAAAGCCAACCAATTTAGACTAAGAGTGAATACTATTTTTTTGAATAAAAATTATATTTAAATTAGCTTTTACCTGAGGGCCATATAAATATTCTATGTTAAATATTACACCTATGCCTAATATTAAAAAAATTCCCAAGCCAGGTCCGTGCACTTGGGAAAATTTTCTCAAAGCCAAAGACCATAATAATTTTGGTAGTTGAGAACTGAAATAAAATATATAAAAAGTCACCACAATGCATTTAAAAATACAATCAGAATATGTAAGTTGCATGGGCCTTGGTTTTTGATCAGGCCTGGCCATGTCTTCAAAAGAAATTTTCAAACCAATTTCTAGCCCATATTTAAAATTAAAAAATTTTTTGAAAATTTTTTAGCAAGCTACGTCCAAGTCCAAATTAATTGTGAATTTCCCAAGCCCAGGAAAACTCAGAATAATTAATTTTTTCCTTGAATCCTGAAAAATATAAGAGGTTTATAAGAATTAAATCTGTCTAATATATGTATATATTAATTGGGAAAATTTTTCAAAATTATCATCAAATGAAGGGGAAATATCTGATCTACCTATCATTATATGAAATTCATGAATACACATTAAAGTACCATGCTGAAAATATGTTCATCCTAATTTAAATATTAAACAAACCACCACCGTTCCAAATGATTTATTATTTAGTTACAAATTATTAAATTAAATTTAAGAAATTGATATTAAATTACAATAGAAAAAATAAAAAGATATTTTAAGTTATCAAATAATAGGAGGTAAACTACAATCATAGTAAAATTATATATAAGTAAAACAAAAATGTTATACATTTCATCAAAAATGTTATAAGTTATGAATAACATACATTCTACAATTATGAAGTTATGAGAAAATATACAACACTATATTATAATAGATTGAATTATTTAATAGTAATTGAAGTATTAGTAAGTGGACAATTTTTACAAAATTATTTAATTCTTTATTTTATTCTTCAAAATATTACACTGCTATTCTCTTGGAATATCTGTCAATTTTCTCTTAAACCATACAATAAATATATTACAATAACTCAGATCGTAACATTAAAAGGGCTGGAAAATAAGTACTATATGTCAAACAATATATATGGTTAAAAGAAAATATAGATGATATTACCAAATATTCTGAGTCAATTTTAAAATTGACAGACAAATGTAAAATATTAAAAGGTAAAAATAGTTTTTTATTTTAGGAATCTAAAAATTGACATCTCGGAACAGTATTATTTTATGTATGTATATAAAATTAACTGCTTCATACCTTAATGAAATTGCTATCCCTATGTCTAATGATTCTGTACATGTGACTATTATTTGTTATTTATTATTGAATAATAGCTAGATCAAGATAATGACAACAAAGAAAAAGAAAACCCTATAGTTATTAATAAAAATATTATTATTCCTACTCTTAAAAGATTATAATAATTTATATATATTTTATGAAAAAATTATCTTTCAAAATAAAAGTTATTATTAGTTTTCCAACTGTTTATTAAATATTGATACAATTATTTACAACATATATTTATTTATTAAGTATATAAATAAAATTTAAATATAGCCATTATCAAATAATAAGTTCATATAAAGTTTAATAACTGAAAGGTAATATATATAATAATAAATACAATTAAATATTTACATTAGAGATCTGCAAAGATAGGCCCGGCCCGTCCGGGGCCTAATTCTATTTAAAATAATTGGGTAGGGCCGGGCCTAATAATTTTAAAAAAATTTCGGGCCAGGTCGGACCTTGGAAATTTTATTAAATATATCTAAATTTATCAATTTTATATTGAATTTTTTATGTAAAATAAAAAATTTTGATTTAATTCATTGAAACTAAACGCTATATAACATGTCTTTTATTTTAAATAATTATAAAAATTAATTTCTATATTTAAATAAATTCGGGCCTGGCCGGGCTGGTAAATTTTTTTAAAATAAATTTCGGGTTCGGGCCGGGCCGGCAAAACTTTTGGAAAAAATTTCGGGCTGCGTCGTATCATAAAAATTATTTAAATGCTTTTAAGACCTTCATAAATATTCTTTTAACTTCTCCCTTAACAATCAATCTTAAATGCTATGTATACCTAATAAATTAAGACCCTTATCAATAATCTTCTAAATAGCCAATGGATACCACCACAGAGTTTTTGTGACACAATCAGGTTGACCTCATATTTGATTTAAATCTATGATAGGAGGTCTTTGTTTAAAAGAGTATTTATGAAGGTCTTAAAACATTTAAATAATTTTTTATGATAAGTGTAGGTTTTATATGAAATTCATATTTATATTTAATAGTTCCTTTCTAAAATAATCATTTTTATTATTATTCCAAAACTGGAGATAGAATAGATACTAAATTTTATTTTTAAAATTATCAAAAATGAAGAAAAAAATTGAGAGGTCAAAACAATAAAGAATAAAAATGAAGAGATTGAGAAGGTTAGAAATGTATGTAAATGATTACAATGAAAAAATCAAAAGAATATTGAATGTATGATGAAAAAAAACGTAAAGAATTGTTAAAAAAATGGACCTAAATTTATAAATTATTTTTTAAAATGCAAAAGAATTATCAAAAATGAGAAGAAAAATTAATTGAGAAGATATAGTAAGAAAAATTAAGTAAAGAAAATCGCATAATTAGAAATTAATTGAGAAAAGATACAATAAAAAAAATGAAGTAATGAAATCGCAAAAAGTTTGAAATAAAATAAGGAGTAACAAAAATAAATAAAAATCAAGACAAATTGACAAGAAATTTAAAAAAATTATGATTTTCCTTTTTTGAATGGGAATTTTCCTTTTTTGATTGGGATTTTTCCTTTTTTGAATGGGGAACCCTGTATTATAAAATATACAAACGGTATATTATAGGGAAATATCTTAGCCCTATAACATTAGAAAAATGTCCAGCATTTGAACAATTTCAAAAAATTATTATTAATTGTAAAATACCAAATATAGATGCAGATATTCTCTTTTAGGAATATTCACAATTTTATTCCTATTATGAAAATAAATTATCAAAAAACAATCAGATGAATGCGCAAGAAAAATGGATGGATTTCCTTTCTAATAAAAACTTACCTTTGATAGAGAAAATATGCAATTTATATTTTCTATTCCGCATTCAAATGCGTCACAGAGAGAATATTCAGTCTAATGAATACTGCTTAGCGAGAACGTAATAGATTATATTTATCATCATTGAAAGCTGAACTTATGGTTAAACAAAATTATAACTATTCACGCAAAAGTTTTCACCCTATCTTCAGTGCAGATGGAAAATCTTAATACCTATTTTAAAATCATCTATAAAATATAATAATTAATATTATTCTATATTTTAATGGGAAAATAATACATCATAATTATTAATAAATCAATAAAAAATATTATATTTTTTACCATCTTAGTTACCTCTATCTTCTATAAACTCATTACTATATCCAGCTATTATGTAATCGGGAAGAGTAAGTTCCACTCATTTTTGTTAAATTACAACTGGGTGAGGTTTGTTGGTATCCTTGAGAAAAATCGGCATAATTATATGAAGAGTAGGCCTTCATATTATTCACGTTCGCTCACTTTGGGCAGGTCTATGACCAACGTGCGATAAGATAATATTGTCTTTAAAAATCTTGTTATATTAAATATAACATATTAACTTAGATGAATATGCTATATCGATTAACCTGGAAGGCCCGCAAATTGGGCAAACCTGGCCAGACGGGTGTTTCTGTTAAGTTTGTCCATCGCAAACCTCTACATTATTTTATAGTAAATCAATTCTTAAAATGTAAAAAATATTATTTATAAATATTATCCAAATAAATTGAGCTATTATTTAAAACCTATACCCAACAAAATAATGATCAAAATTATATCAGACATCCTTTATTATTATTATTCCATACACAGTCAAACTTTATTCCTACAAAGCAAAGCTGGTTTCAAACTTGAAATGAAATAGCAAATTATCTACGAATAATTTGGAAATATCAAAACAGTTAAAAATGGCATAGTACAATTTAGTTCTGGGATAACTAAATTCATTTTTTTATTTTAGATCGATAGTCCTACATATATTATATATAATACGAATTATTCAATTCGACGAACAATATATATATTCCTCTTGAGGAACGAGGATTATTTTAGTTTTACTACTTCAACAATAAATTGTGTTGAGGATATGGGCGAGCAAAATTAGGATTATATTTTATATCGAATTTCCTAGATCATATGCAAATTAAACTGATTTTATCTTTCCCTATATTGATTGTTTTATTTTATATCAATTTATAAATACATAGTTTTATTCTATTTTTATCTATTCAATAAAATTTAAAATTGGTTCATAATTTATCAGTAAAAAATAATTTTTACAAAATTTAATAATCCGTTTTTCTTAAATTTTGAATGAAAAAAAATTCGAAAATTGAATAACAATAATTATTCATTTGAATTTTCGAATCCAATATGGATAATCCAATTATTTGATTCGATTCGAATTATGGATGCCTAGTCCTACAACTTTTTTACATATTTTGTTAAGATGATAATTTTTTAAAAAGTGATAGAAATAGAATAATTTTTAACCGATGATATGTTTATGGTGATCCCAAATAAATAATTCCGCTTGGTATATTATTTAAATTTAAACTGAATTTGTATAAAATAAACATTCTCAAGAAAATTTATATGCGTTAAATCTTTATTATTCTTGTTAACTATAGTCTTACATGACATGAATATATTATATATATAAATTTTTACACAAAATAATCTAATAATTGCATATTCTGATGTTATAAATATTTCCGTTTAAAAATAAAATAAATTACAATATAAAAAAGGGGTTAATGTTTGTTAATAGGCAAAATAATTATGGTATATATGTAGTGGGGGTTATCCTATATAATATTTTCGTTTCAGGTGTGAATTTCAACAAATATTTAATTATTTTCATCTTTTAATTCGTTTACGCTAATTATTTCGACGATTCCTTGACCCTTCGTTTCATTTCTAACAATTTCATCAATAGACCGGAGAGTCCCTGGGTCAATTAACAATACCTATTTTTTTAGTATATATATACGAAAGTGACAACGTTGGTGAAATTTATTTAGCATTTATAAAGTTTACCAATTCTAAATCGCCATTATCCAACCTAGTTTTGTTTTCTGTGGTGCTATTTTCAATGATAGACATTTTTTCAATAATTTTTTTAGAAAATTTGGCCGAACATTGCAATTTTATTTTCATTTGAACCCTCTCTATACTGATAGTTTCTTTTAACTTCTTGATTACATCTAAGGCCTATAAGAATATAAATAATTGCAAAATATACCAGAGACCTGCAGATTTACTTACAGACTAGGCTTGCATTTAATTATTTTTCATATTTCAGTTTGGCCTCGATTTAAAAAAAGGACAAATTTTTGAATAGAATTTTTAAAATTTGGTCATTCCAAATAACTTTTGCTGTTATAAATGGTTTCAAAGGGAAATTAAATTGTTAAACAATTGTCAGTTTATAAGGCTAATCATGTGATATTTTCTAATTGATAGAATTTAATATTTTAAAAATTAAACCTTAGGTTTTTTTAAATTATACAATTATGGGGCCCAGCTTATGGTCAGCCTGCAAGTCTCTGAAGCTTGATAATTTGTATTTTTATATAAAATTGTTTTGGCCAGCTCATATTTTATAAAGTTTAAGTTCTATATTCAATATGTTAATTAAGATTTAGAAATGTCAAAACAATTATTTAATCCTAGAATGAATACCTAACTTAGCAAAAAATTTTAAAGCTAAAAAAATTTTTCAAGATTTTATTTGAAATATTCATAAAATAAACTAAGCTACATATACCACATAAAAATAAATATAATATGTGAATGTTTTTTTGCAATTCGTGTAGAAATTTGTCTAATGTTTTGAGCAAATTCCACGAGGGCTGTTCAATTAGCAATTTTTTCATAGATTTGATCCGTATTGAAATATTTTTTTTAAGTCGAAGCGATTTTTAATTAAAAATAATTTTTTTATTTCAAATTTTATGCTTTTAGATTTATTTTAAAAATATAATCATAAGATTCCCTTACTACTCTTAAAAAATAAGTATTTTAATAATTTTTATAATTTAATTCTAAAATGTTCTTTTCTAAAAAAAAATAATATAAATATTTTTTCTAAATTCATTTCATAGTATTATCGTGCTAGTAAGTTGATCAGAAGCGCTTAACGTTGTGTTTTTCGTAAAAAAGCTTTGTTATTTAAATTAAAGTGGCTTTTCCTAAAATGTATGGTGAAAAATACAAACTATTTTGCGTTTTTAAATGGAAAAAAGGCTAATTGGTATGTTACAATTTAAAATACATAATTTGATATAAAACGCATAAAGAAGAAGCTTCAATTTGTAAGCACTATTAATCTCAATCTACTGCAAACAATGTATAATCCAAATAAATTATGACTAACCATAATTATGCTAATGAATATTTAATTAAAATAATATAAAATCATTTGAAGCGTTATTTTAGGGGGAAAAACAAACGTTGTATTTTTGCGTTTATCTTGTTAAGTTGAGTCTTAAATTTTAAATTTTTTACACCCCTATTCTCACTCATTTTCTAAAGATATAATAAAAAATAGGCAAAATTTTTTTTTTTATAAAAATAGGTGTCTAGAATAAAATAATATTTATTACTAGATTTTCTTAAAAGATCGGATTAGGTTTTACGTGTTTTCGTGAAAATGACCAATATTCCGATCCGATATATTGGACAGTCCTAGTGTTAGTTGGCCCTTATTTATGAAGGACAAAATTTCCAAATAGCCCCCAATTGTTTATTAAAATTCCCATTTTTTTCCTGGTTATTAACATTAAGAACTCCATCCATTTTGAAAATAGATGGCCTAAGATTGTAAAATTTTTATGTAATTAAAACCATGATAAAACTAAATCACGTAAATGGTCATGGCAAAATTTTATTTTTTTTAATTATTTGGGTTGGAATTATTTTACATAATATTACCCAGGAGTAGTGTTGTTAAACGGTCGTTTTGAGCCGATTTTTAAAAACGGCTAACTCACTATTTCATCCAGAATAATTTAACTCAAGCCTGAAGATTTTGTTTGTAGAAGAAACAAAGGTTTGGACATCTATTAGCAAAATCTCAAGGCTTAGGCTATATTTTTCAGGCTAAAATATTGAGTTAGCCGTTTTTAAAAATCGGCTCAAAATGAGCCGTTTAACAACACTACCCAGGAGTTAATAAAAATATCTATCATTCCAAAAACACACATAGTGGCCATAACATTATGATTAGCCATAGATAATCATAAAAAATAAACTTAAAATACTTATAAATTATAAACTTATAAGTTTATTTTACTTTGGAATGAATCATGTTACTTTATTGTTGGTGAACCTAAATTCAGGTTCAGGAATTTTAAACCCTATTTAGCAGAAATTTTGATCACAAGAACTTAATCGAAACCGATTTTCTAAAAAGGTCTGAACCCGCCATGTGATCATATTACCCTGGGTTCGATGGGTTGCCTTAAATCCTTTCTTTGGTTTTCAAGATGCCCAACCAAACAATTTAAAATTCTGAACCTAAATTCGGGTGCACAACCCTGTTTTCACATATATATATATATCAGAGACCTGCAGAGGTACCATTTACGACCCGGCCCGTTTTTTCAAAAACTTTTTTGGCCGAGCATGAGTTTTATATTTTCAGTCCCTGCCCAGATTATTTTTTACAAAATATTTCTCGGCCAAGCTCATAATTTACAAATATAATGTTTATTTTTAATTTTTGAGGTTAATTATGACAGGGTTCTTAAAAGATACACAATCGGATCTCGATACCGATACTTCGCCTAAAACATATCTAGATACAGACACAATTTTTATCATACTTATATATAGGGTACACCGTTGCTCGAATAGAAACTCATTATGGGAGCACAAAATAAGTAAGCTTTTTATAATTGTCACGGTGAGTCACGGCGTGAATGTGAATAAATTTTAAATTATTAGGCGTGACAGGCCTTCCCAAAATTTTTCCAGGGCGTGATTGGGCGTGAACATAAATTTCCCGTGAATCACGGAAATTTTATCTTTTAAAATTGTTTTTTTATAAATATAAATTTGCAATTTTATAATTATAATACATATTTTCTAATTTAATTTAGTTCTTTTTTTAAAAAATTTTTTTTTATGAAAACTAAAAACTTCAGCATTTTATAAACAACATCCGGTATCATTCCGTTAGTTCTATTTTCTTTTTATGTTAAGGTGTTTTATCGCGAGACTTTTTGCTAAATTTGGCTTAAACTCAGAAAGTGAAGGATTTTACAAGCTAGGCCAAGAGTTAAAAAATGTTGGTGTTACATATGGACAACAAAATATAAAAGATATACTTGTGAGCCGGAAAACTCTCATGAATACTATAGCTCCAAAAATATACGATGAAATTAAAATTAAGAATAAGAGCATGATCTATAATAATTTATATATAACCTCTGATATTTGGACAGATGACTATAAACAAGTTTTTTAACCATTACAGGACATATTATCATTAAGGATTTTGGATTAAAAACATTTGTTTTGGACACAAGGGAAATGAAAACAGGCGTCAATATTAAAAGTGCAGTCAATTTAATTTTAGAAGAATACCCAGAAGTAGAAAATAAATAAATGTACAGTTGTGTGAGTGACTGATAACGGAGCAAATCTTATAAGTGCATTCAAAGATGAAAACGCTAGCATGTATACGCCATATATTAAATAATATTTTCATGCATTATATTTTTGACAATTGTTTAACTGAAATGGCCTTAAATATAAATGATGTAAAAAAAATAGTACAATATTTCAAACAGTTAAGAACAAACTAAGCCACACCCTTAAACAAAATGTAATAACGAGATGGAACTCTGTATATATCATGATACAGAGTTTCTTAAAATCATATTCTGATATACAGGTGTAATTGTTTAGCAAGCACGAATTAAATAGATTAGCCACAATTGATATCAACATCATACGCGAGTTAGATAAATTTTTATCAATATAAAGTAAAGGTCTGCATTAGGCGGGGTTTCACCCATCTAAGTGGGGGGGGGGGGGGATTTTCGAAAATAGGAAGGTGGGTGGGCGGGTTACATTTTTTTTGAAACTATGGGCAGATGGGTGGGCAGGTTAAGAAATTTAAACAATGGGCGGGTGGGTTAAGGAAATTTAAAATTTTTGTTCAAAAATAAACTAAAGAAAAATCATAATTAATTAAATGATCAATAATATTTCTTTTTTTATTGTTCCAATCGTTTTTTTTAAGTGAAGAACACTTTACTAGTTTTTCGAGATCTTTATCTAAGTTCCCACCATATATAATGTCTCGTAATGGATTTCATTGATGTAATACCCGGATGTCCCGTATGCATGTAAACTCTTTTTTGAAGTGATTATAGAATGATTAATCTGCCTTTCCAAAATAAAATACCGTCATTATTTTCTATTTCATCTATTCTTATCTTAAAAGCTTGTAATTCTGGGGCTTGATTTTGTATATTAGTACCAATTAATATTTTTACTCTTCCTAAAATTGGATTTTTTGCGTCTTCCTCTCTAAATTCTTTTCTTGATAGAGTTAATGTGTCATAAGTAAGATTCTTATATATTTCACTGTTTAATTTTCGCTTATTATTCTAAGATCATTTTTCTCTATTGGGTTTAAAACTTATAACTTATTCATTAAAACTTAAAGAATGTCTGTAAATCTATTTTAAAAAATTCTAAATAAATTTATTTGCTTAAAATAATCATCAATTATATTTTTATTAATTAATGAGCATCATGGCTAAGCAAGGATTTATATATTCCTCAACATGATAAATATATCCTTCACAATCTTGAACTGATATCTAATAGATTTAAATGATAGCTCATATGAAATAAAATAAATTTTGCATTTAAATTTTTTTATTTTTAATATAAAAGCATTAAGTAAAAGTGTATCAAAATGTATCTTAAAGGTATCTAAAAACAGATACAGATGCCTCAAGATACAGGTACCTTAAAAATGTACTACTACCACATTTTTGTATCTAGATACTTTAGCAACTCTGATAAAGACAATTAAATATTTGTTTCAAAATATACAGCCTGGGTATTTTTTAAAAAAAGGAAGTTTTTTTAGGCCCACCTGAGTATTTAAATTTTATGCTATCGGTTGTTAACTGATATTCCTAAAAGAATAGAGACAGGTGAAATATTTAAAAACCAATAAATCCTCCTTTAGAACTGTTTAAATAATTTAACCCTGTTTATTTAAATTAAGACTTATCTGTTGTTTGCTATTCTTTTTAGGATTAATGGAATAATGTATTTCCTTCATAGCATTTTCAATCATGGTAATAGGATAAGGTTTATTTGTTTCTGGATTGATACATTTATTGGATACTATAGTAGCAATGTCCTTGAACATTGTTTGTTGATTGTTTTGTCTTTCTTTATCTGATATTTGTAAATCACCTTTTTCCAATATCTCTTATTCAAATTTTTACAAATACAACATTATGAATAATGCATAAAATTTTTAAAAATAATTGCTGATAAATGCTATAAAACCATAAGAAAATAATAATTCAAAGATTTATTGATAATAGTATATATTTAAATATTTGATAAGGGGATATGTAATTTACTGATCTAACCAAAGAGAATGTGTTAATTTTATATATTTGACATAATATTCACTTTTAAGCATGCCTCCATCATATTATCTGTTCCAAAAGCACTTATTAAATCTTCCTTTTTAGCTATTTGACCTCTTGATAAATTGGCAAAAACTACAGGAGTTTGCAATACTTCGTCTATATCTTTTTCACTTGAATTAAATTATTTTATTAATTAATTGTAAATTTACATTTTGTTGCGCCAGGATTGGACTTTATTTTTATAGCAGGCAATTTCAAAATGTTTACCACCCTTTTTCATCCTTACATATGCAACATTTGTGAGTCTATTTTGATTTACTGGAGTGAATATAGACATTTAAAAAGTTGGTTATAAAACTTATATAATAATTATGAATCAATCTTATAGTTAAAGTCAATGCTAGATGACATTCTAAATTTTGACAGATCACGTGTATTACGTAATTTTGACATGACATCCTTTATTCTATGTGAATGAGTGATAATAATTGTTTTTTTTAATCCAATATCTATGTATAATCTGAATAGCATAGATTCGTTATTTCTAACGATATCTTCCAAATGGATGCGAGTTGCGCTCAATTATATTTAATATATAAAAAAAAGTTAATTGATAGTTTTTTTTTCCAAATGTTACTAAATGCATTCATAAATCAATTATTTAATCATTAAAGCAGGATTAAAAGAAAATAATTAACAATCTCAAATCTATAAAAGATAGATATTAAGTTTTACACTAAAAATCATATTATGATGTGATGTATATAAGAGATTTTTACCAAGCAATATATAAATGGTAATTTTTTTTTAAATAAAAATGTTGCAGACAACAGATATTTTCATATATTAGTTTATAGTCTAAGAATAAATAAAATATCAAAATATTATAGGAAAGGGAAGGGAGTTGTAAATCAACCAAAGATGAATGTGTCCTCAAAAAAAGGAAACTACACACAGTACAGTAGTGTTGTTAAATTGCTGGGTCTGGCAGGCTTGGCCTAAACCTCAGCAGCAGGGGCGTCGCTAGCCTTTACAATCTCAGGGTACTCAACTAAAAAAAATTATAGGGGGCTTCGCCCTCCATACTTCCAATTCCGTTTTGCCCGGCCTTTGGCCGGGTTTTATATTTATATATTATACTTTTTTTTTAATTTGTTAATTATTCTCAATTTCATATTTTGTCATTTATTATATTATGCATACAAAATAAACTGGCATATAAATAATTAAAACAATACAAGACATTTCTAAAAATAATATTTTTTAATACAAAATCTATTTATTATAGTATTCGATTGCTGATATAAAAAAAATTTGCGTCTAAAGAATTACAAGTGATAAAAAGGATTAATTAATTCATACATATGCCTCAATTGATTTTATAGGCCTAAACCAAATCAATAATTCTTGAAGAAGAAAGTATAAACGACCAATCCAAATCATAAAACTACTAAGTGGTTAGAGCTTCCTTTTAGATGACATTATGGCAGCTAGATAAGTAATCGAGAAAATTATTGTGAGATATTAAATTTCTAAAAGATTATCATCCATTTTAAATGTTATATAATATATAAACGACTATACATTTGACCATTATTGTTTATCTAAAATATGCAATCATATGCTCTCAGCCGTTGTAGTAATAATCTTAAATTACATAGCAACACAAATAATAGATGTTGGTTAATTTGCAGTAATAGCCATGACACTCACGATGTAAACTAGTATCAGAATTTATTATGATGAAAAAATTGATAAAATAAAAACACTAAAAATCTTTGGAAGAAATAATTGAGCAAATATATTGAAGCCTTGATTTATTTACACAGCAAGGATGCTATATTAGAAATGAAACATTTTGGAACTATAAAACAAGGACCAGAATGATATGATGATTAATTAAGATTTATATATTGTCGCACTACCTCTAGTTGGTATTTTATATCTTAAAATAATAGTAGTTTGTAAAAATATCAAAAATATACTTGTATTAAAAATTTAACTCATAACTATTTTTTATTTTTTGAAGAAGAAAAAAATAGATTTCCTAACGTAAAAAGAATAGAAAAGATATCAAATTTATTACATCTATTTTAGGATGAATAATAAAATGTTTAATTTTTAAAATTATTTATAACTAAATAGATGGCTTTAAATACTTGAAAGCAAATTGTTACTATATTTATAATCAAAAGCATTTATTAGTAAAATTCATTATAATATTATCTGTAATATATTATAACTGTCAAATACGTCTATAAAGGTGGCATTTAATCTAATATTTTACTATTAGAAAGCCCGTCAAAAATGACGGGGAATGAGATTTTTATTCATTTTTTTACGATAGATGTCATGCCAGATCCAAGCTCACAATATTAGGAAGCATATAATTATTAAAAAGTTTATCCAGCCCAGCTCAACCCTTAATAATTTGTTAAAAATAATATCATGTCAGGTGCAAGCTAATTTAAATTTTGAGGTTCCAAGCCCAGTCGTATCCAATATAATTTTGAAAATTTTTTCCCACCTCGAAGATAGTTAAATTTTTAATTGATTTATAATCACATGAAGGGGAATTATCTGATTTACCAATTCGTTTAAGATGTAAAAAAAACATGTGAATTCCGTATTAAAGGAAACTGGGAAGGCCTGGGCAAACCACTTATTAGAGAATCATGACAAATAAAATAAAAATAACCGACTCTTATACTTTTTGTTAATATGATCAATTATAATTATATATAAAAAATAAATTGTTGTTTATTATATAGGGTTATTGTAGATTTTCGGATAAATTTAATGTATGTCTTGCATTTCCCAAATTATTTGTCTATATTTTATGTTAAGTAAAAAAAATGCTATCTAATTAAATAACAAAAATGCCATTAAACACTAATGAAACTTAAAATCAGGCAAAAATATAAATAAACATTATTATTGAAATAAAACGAACATTAAAATACTGTACTGAACCTGTAAAGGGGTCAATATATGCATATCTCTAGTAGTTAGGAGGCTATCATCAAAAAATAAAATTTGTCTAGTTGGGGACTTATCAAGACTATCACGTTTTTCTGAGCATTTATTTTGTATTTGTTGATTAAATTATATATAAAAAATAAATTGTTGTTTATTATATAGGGTTTTTGTAGCTTTTCGGATAAATTTAATGTATGTCTTGCATTTCCCAATTATTTGTCTATATTTTATGTTAAGTAAAAAAAAATGCTATCTATTTAAATAACAAAAATGCCATTAAATACTAAACTTAAAATCAGGCAAAAATATAAATAAACATTTTATTGAAATAAAAAGAACATGAAAATACTGTACTGAACCTGTAATGGGGTCAATATATGCATATTCTCTAGTAGTTGGGAGGCTATCATCAAAAAATAAAATTTGTCTAGTTGGGGACTTATCAAGACTATCATGTTTTTCTGAACATTTATTTTGTATTTATTGATTATTAATGGTAGATATATCAATATTTAAACAATTATAAGGAGAAAATAAAGCAGGGTATGTTATCTAAAATAAAAACAAATAAAAATTAAAAAAAAATGAATGCGTTAAACTTGCAGAGGAGTCAATATTAAGTTCAACTCCCTAGAAATAGTGGAAATATCATCAGAAGCTAAAATGGATGTATTCTAAAATATAAGAACATTTATGCCTTTTTAGTATATATATATATATACACTAACTTTATTATGTGTTGTTAGTATATTTTGCTGGGATTCACAATCCCTATAGCTATTCTTTTGTTGATTGACCTGCCATCTTTTTCTTTCATTAATGACGGATAAATCACCATCTGTACAATCATTAAGTGAGGTTAAGACAGGGTTTGTTCTAAAATAAAAACAGAAGAATAATTTAAAAAATATAAATGCATTGAACCTGAAGAGGAGTCAATATAAGGTTCAACTCTCTAGAAATAGTGGGGACATTATCAGAAGCTAAAATAGATGTATTCTATAATATAAAAGAGTATAAAAAAATATATATATAAGTTTTGAGTTGTTAGTAGATTTTGTAGGGCCTCGCTATCCCTAGTGCGTTTCTTTTTTTGATTGATCTGCCATCTTTTTCTTTTATTAATGACGGATAAATCACCACCTGTACAATCATTAAATGAGGTTAGGACATGGTTTGTTATCTAAAATAAAAACAAAAGAATAATTAAAAAACATATTAATGTATTATGAAGAGGAGTCAATATTAGGTTAACCTCTCTAGAAATAGTGGGAATATCATCCATCAGAAGCTAAAATAGATGTATTCTAAAATGAAAAGTATTAGCATTTTTAGTATATATATAGATGAATAACTTTATTTTGCATTTGATAGATTTTATTGAGATTCACGTCATATGACCCAGTATAATTTTTTTGCTTGAATATGAGTTGAATTAAGAATTGATTGATGTTTATTTTTTGATAAGCCCAGCTTTCGGCTGGAGTGTGTAGCCTGAGGTAGGGAAATAAGAGAAAATTAAATGAAAAGAAAATAGGGAATTAAAAGGAAAGGAAGGTAAAGATAAAGATAATTAAAAAGTGAAGATAGGAAAGGAAAATGATGAGAAAGGGGTAGATAATAAAAGAATTAAAAGTGAAAGAAAGGAAAAGAGAATTTTAGTATTTTTTAAATTTTGACTTTTCCCATATTATTTGAGACTGTTATTAAAATAATGAATGTTAGTGATATCTTTAGTAGGGATTCATATGTTGTCGGCATAGCATAATCAGTCTACATTTTGTATGTTACTGAAAACTATTCTTTGAGATAAAATATATATTTAATAAAAATATTTACATAAGACTAACATTTAACATTAAAAAATCCCAATCTAGGTTCAAGCCTACAATACCTAGAAAAAATATCCAAGCATCCAAGATCTTAATAATTTAAAAAGATTTTCTCAAGCCCACCTCAATCCCTAATAATTTTGAAACCAAGCCCAGATATTAAATTTATAATTAATGAAGGCCAAATCTCTGATTTACCAATTGGTCTACGGGTAAAATATATTACTTTATAAGAATAATAACATAAGAGTAACATTTAACATTAAAAAATCCCAATATAGGTTCAAGACTACAATATTTGGAAAAAATTTCCAAGCATCCAAGATCTTAATAATTTAAAAAGAGTTTCTCAAGCTCATTTCAATCCCTAGTAATTTTTGAAAACCAAGCCAATATTAATTTTGAGAAATATTTTTTAAGCCCATTCCAACCCAGAATAATTTTGAAAAAATTTTCCCAAGCCTAGACATATTAAATTTATTGAATTAACTCAGTTATGAATTTCTATATAAAATAATATTAATTTGTAATGTTTAGTAAATAATGTAATACTTTGACAATTGGTTTTAATATGGCCTCCTACAGTTGCACTAATTTTGAAAAAA